ATGAGGCCGCAGGAGCCGCCGCCGCAGGGCGGCCCCGCGCTGCCGGCGCTGGAGACGCTGAAGCAGCGGGCGTGCGAGAGCGTGGAGCTGAACGCGGCGCGGCTGGGCGCGCTGAGCCGCGACATCTGGAGCCGGCCCGAGCTGGCCTACGAGGAGCACCAGGCGCACGACACCATGACCCGGTTCTTCTCCAGCCGGGAGCTGCCGGGCGCCGCCTGGGCCGTGCAGCCGCGCTACGCGCTGGGCACGGCCTTCCGCGCCGAGTGGGGCACGGCCGCCCCTCGGGGCCCGGGCCCGGGCCCGCGGCCGCTCCGCGTCGCCTTCCTCTGCGAGTACGACGCTTTGCCCGGCATCGGGCACGCCTGCGGGCACAACCTGATCGCCGAGGTGGGGGCCGCCGCCGCCCTGGGGCTGAAGGCCGCCCTGGAGAGCCTGCCGCAGCCGGCGCCCGTCGCCGTGCAGGTGAGAGCCCTCCCGGGAACGGGGGCGGGGGCCGCGGCCTGGGCCCCGGCGGGCCCCTCACCCTCCGCGTTTGTGCTGCAGGTCACGGTGCTGGGGACGCCCGCGGAGGAGCAAGGAGGAGGTAAAATAGACCTGATAAACGCCGGAGCGTTCGATGGCCTGGATGTGGTTTTCATGGCGCACCCCTCGCAAGAAAACGCGGCTTACCTGCCCGATGTGGCCGAGCACGAGTGAGTGAGCGGGGTCAGGTGGAGAGGGACGGCTCGGTGTGGGCCTTTTCTCTCCTCCCCGGCTAGGGGAGCTGCTTTGCAAGGGGCTGATCTTAGGGCCGGGGGCCTTGCAGCTGCCCTTCAGGAGAAGTTTGTGCGGTCAGCGAAGGAGCCAGGTCACTGCTGGGGACACCGAGCCGTTCTTCTGAAGCGCAGTGTTCAGCCCGCTGTTAAAGATCCCTGACTGCTCTGAGATAATCTTGCATGCGTCCCAAAGATCCATTCTTTCTTCTGATCTTTCTAGGTGTTTCTTCTTGAACATGCACGTGACTATCCTGTCTGTTAAAAAAAAGAAATTTAAAATGCAACCGGGGGGAGTCTCATGGATCGTGGGTCCTTGCTTTCCTGGGCACCAAGTCATGCAGTCCTCTGCGCACATTTTATTTTAATCAGTTTTGAACGTGTTTCAGGTTTTCTCTCCTGCTTTTGAAAGAACCAGCTGGCTGAGCCTGACTGCCATTTGGATCCTTATTAACTTCCAGCCTAAATTTAATTGTGGCTGGTTTATATCTATTAACTCTCACATCAGCTTTTTTTTGATTCAAAGTAGTTCTTGGCTTTCCTTCCTCCATATATACTTCCTATATATAAGTACAGACAGCAGTCATACTCTTGCTCAGCTCTTTTTTTGCCAGCTAGCCATATAACTCTTTGGAAATCATGCTTTATCTTCTTTTGATTAGCCCTACTGTTCAGTGACAGCACGTGTTCTTTTGTACTTGGAGTCACTTGCCTTGTCTTGAAGTACTCTGTGCTGGATGTGCATAACCAGATTTGTACACAGTACATGAGGTGGAATTTCCTTAGACCTTACTTAGCTGATGCTGGGACCATAGTATCTCCTTACCATTTTGGAGCCAGCTGGCATGTTTGGGGCTTCCTCTTCAGTCATTTCCAAGCAGTCAACTCTTAGACAAATGCTTAGTCTGTAAGTATGTGATCTTCTAAAACATTTTTGAGCTTCAGTTTGTTCTTTCTCTGCCAGTCTGCAGGGCCATGCTGTTCTTCCTTTGATATTATAAATGTCTTCTGTTTTCATAGTGTTCCAGCAGTCATCTATCAGCAGGTTTGTTATACATTTTTGTGTCACGGTTACTAATGATTCTTGATCCCAAGGTCTTACCTGGCAGAGATTCTGCTAGTAACATCCCTCCAGTGCAACAGCTTTTTCAAAGTACTATGTTTGGCTGTCTCTAAATTCTGTAGTATTTAAATAACTGGTTTTCCAACCATTTCTGACTTGATGTACTGAGAGCTGTTTTTAGCATGGTTGTGCTACCTTCCAGCTCCTATGTGCTTGATTTTATTGGCCATTGTGCTTCTGCCACTGCTGTTCCTGGTGGATAATTTGCTTCTGTTACTGCTAAATTTTATGGTTGCTGTACCTTCAGACTATATTTATAATCTTCAAGATGCAATTTTCATGGATAGTTTTGTCTTTCTGTTCATTTCAACTCTTGCAATAGTCTTTTGAGTTTGATACGGTAAGATTTTGAAGTCTCCCTTCAGAGGTGATGGCTTGCTGTAGGATGCAAGTCCTAAACAGCCTTCAAACCTTGAATGTGGAGGAGGCATGGAACTGAAGTACCAAGTGAAACAACTTACTACCTCCAAAAACTCGAAATACTGAGTTTGTCATGATTTATGTAATTATGAGATTCCAAAGGTACAAAGACCATTTTGATAATTTGTAGTTGATCTTTGGTTGTTTCCAAGGAATTTAAGGACTGGTGATCACGAAGTTGCTAGTATTACTGTATCTGCAACCTCTGAAAGCTGGTGTGTGCCTAAAGTACAATTAACATACTGCGATAAATGTGGTGAATACCTGCTGAAATTTGCTGATTCTTATTCACTTATCCTTCACTTAATGAGCCTATTTAATGTTTGGTCAAACAGGATCCACGTTCTTCTGCTGATATTCTTAAACTGGCTTAGGGTGTTATTCACCAAAATCCGTTGGGTTTTTTTCTTAAAGTATGTGACATTTGTGTAGCAATATAAATACAAGAAAAGGAATGCTGAAAGAACATTTTAGTAAGAAGCATGTGTTTCTTGGGGGAAAAAAATGATTACGATGTGACTCTCTGCTTTGCTTTGCCTTCTCTCCGTTTTTTGGAGAATATCCAGGGATCCGTCCTGACTTTGTGAGTTGATATGAGGGGTTGCAGTCTAATACTTCGGATGTTAATAGATAAGTTTTGTTATCTTGATTTCATAGTGATAATAAATTTTAAGTAAAACTCATATTTTACAGTACGGGATGTATTGTTGTCTTGGAGGATGAGGGGGAATGGAAGAGGGCATACTTAATTTGGATTGCAGGCAGTAAGTAGCAGGAGACATTTTCTGCTGCAACAGTACACTCCATTGTGTCCCTATTGGCTATCCAGTATTTAAGTTCTGCTATTAACTTAGAGCTGTGGTGTGGTTCAGAGCATGAGGGGTCAATTCAGGGTAAGTGGCTAAGCTGGCATTTGTGCAAGATGGAGGGACAAGCAAGTGGTCCTAGCTGGGTGAGAGACAGGTTGTGCATGTCGGGGCAGGGGGAGCTCTTTGAGCTTGAAGATGGAGTTTTTTATGTAAAGGACTGGCTATTGAGTACAAACAGATTTAGTTAAAATCTCTCCTATTGGTAAAAAACTAATATTTGTGTATTTGATAAATAGTAATACCTTCTGTTGTTGTCAGTATTTAGTATCTGCCTCTTGTGTAAAGAGTTTTCATATCATTTGAAATATTAAATTATTCTGTAAGGCTAATATAAATAGCCCTCAGATGAAGCAAAGTATGAATTCTTACCGGATGTGTTTAGGTGCAGTATTTTATGACTTCTACAAAGTTGGAGGATAACCTCGGTGCTAGATTTCTTCCTTGTTGGCAAGCCTTTCTACCAGCATTTTTGAGGTGTGCAGGGAAAGAACATCCCTGCTGTAGCATAGTAATGTGTATTTTATACTAGGCTATGCCTTTACTACACTTGTAAACTTGACTTTTGTTATTTAGACATGGGTTGTATGTGATCTTATTAATGTGCTTTTGCTGTCATATATATGTACACGTTTTATTTAAGTTTGACAAGAGTTAGGACAATCAACTTCTAATTTTGAATCACAGAAAAGGTTTTGTTACCCTCTGAGAAGAATGTTAGTAACTTTAAGTCTTGGAACAGTCAGGTAGTATAAAAAAATTGTTGGAGAAATTTAATTAGTATGTGAAGCCTGTACTTCTCAGGAAGAGGCTCTACAGTGGTATGTTACCACTAACTCTTTTGCCTGTCTGGCTCTTGGTATCGTTCTATTTCATTGGTTTTCCAGGAATCTTTCAGCATGTTCTTGCATTCAAAGATAGTACAACTTTGTTACAATGTAGTGCCAGGTAAATTGTTGTTCTGCTGCACAAAACTTAAATAACAAATATTTGTGTGAACAAAAGGAACTTTTTATTTTAGAGGGGTTTTTTTAGTGAATGAAAAACAAACAAGTAATGCCTTTTATTTCCTAGTGTGACTGTGAAATACTATGGAAAAGCTTCTCATGCTGCTGCTTATCCTTGGGAAGGAGTTAATGCATTAGATGCTGCTGTTCTTGCATACAACAATCTGTCTGTTTTAAGACAGCAAATGAAACCGACCTGGAGAGTTCATGGTGAGATCTTAATTAAATTTAATGTCCAGCAAGTAGGAGTTTAGTCTGCTGAAATACTAACTTATAAAATCCCACAATTTAAAGTATTGTATTATTGCACTAAATTAGTATAGTCACTTCAAATATTATGAAATAGCACCATTTCATTTAGTTTGTCTGTAATCTTTAAGATCATGTCAGTGTCCAGAACTATATGCTGAAAATAGGCTTATAAGTCAGAGTCAAAAGAGGACACTGGTACCTCAGTAGAGGCTATCCAAATCTTAAGTCTTTGCACTTGCAGTTCGGAGAAAAAAGTGGTAAGCTTATTTTGATACATGGCCTTGAATTCCTTAAAGTTAACATACGTGTTTTTGCAAATGTGTAAGATTAAATGCTTCTGAAAAATGAAGTATTACTTACTGCATCATTTTTGTAGTAGACATTACATTAATTAGCCTTTGTTGGAAAGTGGTCTAGAGTGACTGAAGCTTATTTGCTGAAGTACAAAAAAAAAATGATGGCAGAAGCCTATAGTTCTGGTTAGTAGCCCAATCAGCTAAATGTTTACTGGATTCTAGTATTTAATATCTTATAGACCTTGGAGTAAAAATGTCATTTTGCAGTAAGACATGTTAACCATTAAGCTTGACTTGTATTCCTTCAAAATCATGTGTTTCATTTTGTACAGTGAGAAAGTTTCAGAAGTTGAGATGGAAGCTGCCCTTTAGCTATAAACCCAGGTTTCCCTTATTACATGCAACACAACTTTTTCCAAGTTGAAATTAAGAAACTGCCATTTCTACAGGACTTCTGAATGTAGAACTGCGTATTTGGAATACTTGTTATAAGCTTAAAACACTTTAAGAAGTTCTGAGCTAGTCATTATACATCTTGGCTGCTGGTGCTGTATAATACATATGTGTATTTCTCTCCAGCATATCTGGATGGAGTCTGGAAGCTCTAACCCTTGTGATGGTAGATGAAGATATTTACAGTTCTGCTGTGCAGCATACCCAAATGAATTTCAGACAGCGGGCATATCCTCTCTATCCTGTTGCTCTGTAGGAAACAAGGCACTTAAGAGTTTTGGTGTCTGAAACCCATGTGTTGCAGGTTTAAGGTTGGAGGTGCATAAGTCTTCTATTGAATATAAGCCTAAACCCCTAAATACTGCTTTCTTCGTAGTTTCTAAAGGCTACATGGGTAATGTAGCAAAAAACTAAGTATCTGAACAAGCCTCCTAGAGGTAATACTTCCTGAACCACAGCAAAACTTAAATTACTGTATTGATACAATTGCTGTCATAAATGTGGTTTTCAAACCGCAGATATTTAGAATACTTTTGGGAAAGTATAAGCAGCCAGAATGAGATTTAATTTTAGGAATGTTTTCTTTACAACAGTGTAGTGGAGATCTTGTGTTGTAGACTTGCAGTAACAGCAGTGGCTGACTTAAGTGATACTAAAAATCTTAGTGTTAACCCACTAACAAAAACTAAAATAATTTTCATTACTTGAAGTCTAGAATTTTGAAGCAATGTTTTATGTACTTAAGTATTGTTGGTTTGAGTTTGTCTGATATTTGCTAAGTTATCTTTCTTCTCTGCTTATGAGTGGAGTAAGTTGCCCCCTTGAAAAATAGGAATGTAGATTTTTTTTCCTGTTCAAAAAGTTGTATTAAACAGGTTGTAAAAAAAAAAAAAGTTCCATGTAGAAGGGCAAACTGAGTGCTACTAGTAGTATGCAGGCGGCCTACTTTTAAGCTAGAGCTGCTGTCCAGTCCATATTGCAGTTGCTTTGAAATTTAAGTATAGATGTACTGTTAGACTCTATCCGATTCCATTTACAAATGTGCTGGATGAGACAAGTGGAAGTTGTTTACTCATTAGGCTACTTGTTTTGAGCAGGTGTGTTATGGTATGTGTCATGCAAATTTGCATGCTTACTTACTTGCTGGTTCCTTTCCTGTCATGTTGGTCCCTCTCATCTGAGCTGTTCCTTTTGTTATGGACTAGTACTGATAGTGGTTTAATTCAGCACTTTGTTTACTTTGACTGTATTTGAGACTGGAAAGGTCTTATTTGAGGGGGAGTTCATAGTCTTAATAGGTTTTCTGCACCAAAAGTAAAGATTTGTTGCCCATTTTCATCCTGATAGTGCTGTCTTTTCAAGCTTCAGTGACACACATCAGTGACTTTGTGCAGTATTTCCATTTAAGGTAGATAGTTTCTCAGGTTCTAAAGAAAACAAATCTTATTCCATGTACGTAAATTGAGGGTAGGAGGCCAGGGAAGCAAACAGCCTGTTGAAAGCAACTAGCTGTTAATGCATTGAAGTCTAATGTAGAATTTAGGTCTACAATGTTTTATTGTTGAAATATCTAAATATTGTGGTCCTTTATGGTCAATTATGGCTTCTGATGGCATAACTGAAAACTATGTAGTTGTCACACATTTCCTTGAGGGAACACTTTCAACTCAAACTTTCCTCTTGAATAAAATACATATATTATACATTCCAATATTTCTAAAGATCTAGCATGAGGAATCTAATGAGCTTTCTGTGCACTGTGACGCATACATTACCCCAGTATTGCTGAGAAATGCAACTTAATTTCTCTCCAAGCTGGCAAAATAAGTTGGAGACATTGTAGTTGAGGAAACCTTTAAAAGCTGGAATCCAAGGTAGCCTTTATAATGAAATTTTTTTCTTTCAATGGCAGCCAGATTGCTTTATGACTCTGATGCATTGAATTTCAGGGGATTAATTACAAATGCTAGTTTGGCTTGTCTTTAGGTGTATAACAGATGTCTAACCAAAGAATGCAATGAAATTGTGCTGAAAAACATGTACACATTCCACTTAATCTGTGATGAAGAAACTTTGTCTGCATACTGTATTTTTTACATTCTTTGTATTTCATGTGCAGCTGATGTTGTTTTTTGCTTATATATTTAGTTCTTGAGCAAGGAGTTTTGTGACAGGGCTGAAGATCAAGCAGTTGTATTTAACACTGATAACATGACTTTTCCGTTTCTGCAGGTGTAATAAAAAATGGTGGTGTGAAACCTAACATCATTCCTTCTTACACTGAACTAGAGTTTTACTTGCGTGCCCCTTCAATGAAAGACCTTTCTGTTCTGACAGAGAAGGTCGAGAACTGCTTCAGATCTGCAGCACTGGCCACAGGATGCAAAGTAAGAATGTATTCATGGTCATGTGTTTCTGTTACGCTGGAGATAAGGTAGGCCAGAACAGGAAATCGAGGCTTACATTTGACTGCATGGGGTTTAGCTGAAAGAAATCTAAATTTTTATGATACTATTTGCTATTCTGTTGCTTTGTGTTTTGGAAGAAAGCTTTGGCTTATAAATAGAATGCCACAGAATCATAGAAGAATCTAGGTTGGGAGAGACCTCCAGAGGTCATCTAGTCTAACCCTCTGTTCAGAGGAGGACAAGTTAGAGCAGATTGCTCAGGGCCACATGGATCTCTGAGTATCTCCAAGGGTGAAATTCTACAACCTTTCTCAACAAGTGCTCTACCCACCTCCTGGTGAACAAGTCTTTTCCTGATGTTTATCATCAGAGCACTGGAACAGGTTTCCTGGAGAGATTGTAGTGTTTCCATCCTTGGAGATACTCAAAAGCTGCCTTGATATGGTCCTGGGCAATCAGCTCTAGGTGACCCTGCTTGAGCAGGGGAGTTAGAGAAGAAGACCTGCAGAGGTGCATTTCGACTTCAACCATTCTGTGATTCTGTTGTATCTAATAGGAATTTTCTTTGTTGCCTCCTGTCATATCACTGGGCATCTCTGAGAAGTCTGGTTCTGTCGTCTTTGTCCCCTCCCCATCTGATAACTGTAGACAGCAATAAGATTTCCCCCTGACCTTTTTTCTGAAGGCTCAACAAATAAACTTTGTTCAGCCTTTCCTTGTATATCATGTTCTCCAGCACCCTAATCATCTTGGTGGCCTTCCCCTGGACTTGCTCCAGTCTTGATTTGAGGAGTACAAAACTGAACACAATACACCAGATGTGGTCTCACAGAAGTTGTCTGCATCAATAATAAAGATATTAGAACAGTAATGGCACCAGTATTGATTGCAGAGGAATGCTGCAAGTAACAGGCAGCAATTTGGATTTTTGTGCCACTGATCATAACACTTTGAGCTTGCATGTCTTCTGTGTCCTCTGAGCCAGAGTGGTCATCATGAAAAGCTAAGCTTGGTCATGCACTGTCTGCTCTTCTATGAATATATGCTGGATGTTCAGAATCGCCTTGTGATTCATGTGCCTGGACGTGGGTCTTAGGAGGATTTATTTGCTCTATAATCCCTCTGGGAGCTTGAGGATAGGACAGTCTGACCAGTCTGTAATTTCCAAGATCCTTCTCTTAGCCCTTCAAGGTGGATGTGACCTTTAGCTCTTTTTCAGTGAGCTGGAGCATCCCTCTATTTCAGTGACATTTAAAAAATGATAACTCACTGATTGCATTGCTGCTTCTCTCTTACTCAGCATCCTGGTCCCGAGTACGTACAATTTCAAGAGCCCCATAATCTTTTTTTTTTCTTGCTGTGGGTGATGCTCCCCCCCTACATACGGTGCTACTAGGCTCAGAGACCTGGGAGGCTTGATAGGAAACCTTACCAGTAGGAACAGGCAAAACAGATTTGAGTTTTTGTCTTTTTTTCCATGTTCTTTGTCACTAGATCCTTTGCCCCGTTAAACAGCAGGCTCATGTAGCAACCAAATGTGAAAAATTGAGTGACTTCTCAGTTAGCATTCTTATTTTTTTTCTTTTAGTAAATGGAAGTGTCTCCTGTAGCATGTTCAAGCAATATGATTACCTTGCACTGTATTGCTACGATAGGTGGTTCTACTTGCTCTGTAGTTACAAGTTTGACTAATACAGCTATGAAAAGAATCTCTATGCTCATCAGAAGAAATAGGTATAGTGTATATGAATGAGCTAGTGAGTTTTAAGGTCTATTTGAGGCATTAGATGCTGTTTTTGTAGTATGGCCCCTCCACTCTAGCTGGAAAAGGATTTTAGAAAGTGCACTTTACACAGAATGAAAGTTAAGATCTCTTTTGAAATTTGACATCGGTATGTTTTTTACATTTGTTTTCAAACTTCTTGCCTGTGTGAAGTCATTTCATGAATGGTTCTAAACAATAGTAAAATAGAATTTGGTGAAAGCCTAAATTGATTTCTGTATAGTTTTAATAGTACCTGCAGTGGAAATCATTAGATGGTGTTACTGGAAATGTTTATTTCCTATTTTTGGAGATGCTATCTGTGAAATCCATGCTTCTGGAATTTGGCTGCCTGGTGCAAGCTTGACACAACATCAGCTGTGTTTTGATCAAGAGTAATATTTGGCAGAATGTTGTATTTTTGAAAGAAATTTAGCACTTGCATCTCTTTTGACATGGGCTTGAAGTATGGATATGTACTTATTTTTTCTGGTCTTTAAATTCTTTATGTTAAACCGGCTTAAGTTGGAGAAAAAATTCTAATTATTTGGGGGTTTTTTCTCTAGGTGGAAATAAAAGGTGGTGAAAATGATTACTACAATGTGCTTCCAAATAAGAGCCTGCAGAAAGTTTACAAGGAGAACGGAAAGAAGCTTGGAATAGAATTTATATCAGAAGACTGTATCTTGAATGGCTTGTCAGGTAACTCCATCTGGGTTTTTTGTTATGACTTAAGCTTAAGTTGATCAACTCTAAAGTGTGTAAAATAATGGAATAGAGCTAGGTTAAACATAGTTTGGTCGGAAGAAAAAGCCAAATTAGAAAGTTGAAGCTCTGTAAAAGGGGATTGTACCTCTGGCCTGTGTTTTTGTATTTGTTGTAGAATCTGAGAAATTTTCCCAACACATATGAAGAGCAGTAATAATTTTCTGATAATGTTTCTGAAAATATTTCAAGAAAGAAGCAGTTTGGGCAGAGGGATGGAAGGATGTAAAGCTAAGAACAATTTTACTGAGAACATGAGGGTGTGTAATAAATTGCAACTCATTCTGTTGTTTTGAAATACAGAATCCTGGTTTGCTATGAATGGAGATGACATGTAGTTTTTAGGAACCTTGTTTAATAATATTTTCCAAGCTTACATATAAACAAATTTACTAGCATCTAACTAATATTTTAGACAGTTTTTTAAGAGATTTTTAAGTGGAAGTTTAAGCATCTCGGTAACCATAATTTAAAACCTCTTCCATTAACAGGTAATTCTATGCCTCTAATTTTAGTTCACGAGTTCAACAGATTAGTTTTCCAAAGGGTGCTGTTCATGTAGATGTTTACTTCTGGGTCTTGACTATGTCTCAAACTAGTTCACTTGGTGTCTCAGAGCTATAGTAATAGGAATATGAATTCTTGAATGCTTAGGTGGGTTTCTTATAACCCTTAACAGTTGGGTTTTTTTCAGAATCTTCCTACAGGAGCTCTGTTCAAGTCTTAACCACTGCTGATATTTTATAGACTTCACTACTGATCATAACTGTATATAGAAATGTTTTTACTCCACTCATGTTAAAGGTTTTTCTCTTTGGTTAGAAGGAAAAGATTGTTCTCAGAAGTTGTTATTCTAATTAGTTTGATTGTGATACTAATTTCTATATTAACTGCAGACTATCTTTGGACAGTTGAGATCTTGGTGTTTGGGGGCAGACTTCTCCAAAGTTTTTTTGGTTTTTTTGGGTGGGGGAGACAGCATATCTAATGGTATTCTGGTTGTTTTTCTCTATTTCTTACTTCCCTTCCAAATTAAGACAACGGTAGCTTATTTTCTTCAACTGGTTTGTTGTCTTGGGTGTAAAAACAAATTATAACTAAAGGCAGATTCCTTTTTTTCTTCAGTGTGGTACAAGTAAGATTTACTACTTGGCTCATTTAGCCTAAGAAAGAGGCTGAGGAACCTTAGAATGTTTACTGTGAAACTTTCTGGAGCTTTGCTAGTTGCTTCCTTCAAACCATTGTATTAAGGGTGAAGATCATGAATACTGGTGATCTTGCTGTTTCAGAGGGCTTCAAATGAACTTAGTACAGACACCTAATTGTAATAGTGCTTTCATATGTAAGTTACATGATATGCTAAATGTTAACCATTACCTTGCTTAAATTGAAACTCCCCATATGCCTGTCCTGTCCTTAAATTGCTTGTCAAATGTCAAAATATGCTTGAGCAATTGTGGTTTTTATCTCACACTGCAGTAGGCTTTACTGAATTTTCTTTCCACAGCTTCTACTCTGAGTTTTTGCAGTGGGGATTCAGGAGTGCTAACAAAGCACAGCCTCCAGAGACATAGGAGTGGAATTTTGTATGCTGCCCTTTTTTTTGGGGGGGGGTTGAGTGTTTTGTCTCATCTTTTTCAAGACCTCTATTTCTGTTTAGCTTTCATGTGGTTTTCAATGTTTTCTTTTAGGATATCAGTTTCTTCTGTTGAAAGGGAAGGAAGATAGCTCAGTTGCTTCTCCATGTCTGTGCAGCAGAAAAGTCGTTAACAGATGAGCATACTCGCTGCCACCTCTACATGGGTATTAGTATCGGTCTGCTTACAGGTATCGCTTTAGGCAGCTAAGCGTTACAAAGAGTTTCTTTAGTCTAAATCACAGTACCTTGTGTGTGCCTCGTGCACACTCCACTCATTTGGCACACGGCCAGGATGATCTGAAATAATGTGAATCTGAGTTAGCTTTGACCAGGTGCCATGACCTGTTTCTCCTTCTGGTGGTAGGGTAACTCTACTACAGGATATTGAGAACCTCCCAAAGCAGATGGCTTAGTTTAGCATGCCTTAGTTGAGGCACCCATGCTTGTGATAACTTACTCGGATATATTTAGCATTCATGGGGTTCATTGACTTCCTGTGCACAAAACTGATATAGATGATCTTGGGAAGGAGCTACTATGTTTTGAAAACAGCACTTTTGAAGCTTGGGGCTGTGTATAAATGCTTCCTGGAATCTTTTGCATTTTCCCCTCCATTCATGTTTGTGGTAGTACTGACTTCCATTACGTGTTCAGTGACTTGGAGAGGCTTCAGTATTAGCTTGGGGATACATTTTTGAGAGGCTGGAGTTCCCAATACCTTTCTGTTGCAGATGGTGCACAAGTCTGTATGTTGCACTGATAACTGTGCAATTATTTATGCTTCTAGAAGGAATCCCAATCTGTACATCTCTAGCAAGCATCCCCCCAGATGTTTGTATGGGAACCATTGGAACACCTGATGTTTTAAACATGCCGCTAGGTTATTACCACTAAAGGATGTAACATTTTTTCTGATAAAGGGGAAGATTTGACTGTCACATTTTTATTAAAAGCGGCCTGGTTTTTGGCTTGGTAAGCTCCCCATTTTACTAGAAAATACAAAGTTTAAATCCCTTACATTTAGCAAAAATAACTTGTAAACTGGTAGTAGATTGGATATGGATATAAATTTAAGTGGAATTACATGACCGAGAGGTGGGATGCACTGGAATTTCTAATGCTTCATTTGCTGAGTGAGAGCAGGGAAAAAGGCCAACACAGTCTTTTCTGCAGTTTGTGTATTAGGACTTAGTAAGGCAAGTCTAGAACTCCTGGTTTAGTCTGGAGTAGGCAGAACTTCTAGACTTCTGGTTTGTCTTTCCAGACTGACCAAAGAATGGATCAATAGTGTAGACTACAGAAAATTAGGATAACTTGTTGCTGTACCAAGAGTTGGATTTTCTTTAAATGTATACTGAACTTAAGGGAAAAGATCGTGGTTTTGGACAAGCCTTGCTGCTTCTGTTTGTAGGCAGAGCAAATAGCAAGCTAGTCTTGTCCTCTAATCATATAATGTAGGCTCTGTGGACTTGCTTTTAATAACTATATGCTTCCAAGTAAAATCTGTATGCTTCAGTCATTTCAATACTAAGTCTTAAGGCATTAGCAATATCTTCTCTCCATAAAGTATCATGATATGGAGGCTACCCAATGTGTTACAAATAATTTTAAATCTTTGGAACAGTCATTTTATATGCCATTGCTAAAGAAAAAATTCTTGCAGCTCTGATTGGCCTCAAAAAAGTTAGCTGAGATCCTAGTTGGTCATCCCTAATTTTCCCCGCTACAGAACAATGCCTCCTCTGGTATCTGAATTTCACAATAACTACTATGTTGATTTCTCCAGCTTCTAAATGTCATTTTAACAAATACTGAGTGGATTGCTTGTTTGGGTAAAAAAAAAAGGCACTTGGGAAGTAGTTGCAGACTCTTGGATAATTTACTCTGAAGGATCTACTACTTCTGGATGGTATCATTAAATAGATAAGGCAGTACTGTGAGATAGGTACTATCACGAGCTAACATACTGAAAGTGCTAGTCAGGCATAAAAGAATCATTAAAATCTGCAGCATTGCTATCAGGAATTTTTTTACATCTATGAAGCGCTAGTGTTTTGTCTGGAGTTTAGTTATGGTCTTGTTATTTCAAGAGTGCTTTTGCTGTTAAGGTTTGCATAACTGAGAATATTCAAAAAGCACAGGAAAAAATAGTTGTCCTCAATTTGTTTTTGTTTAAAGGTAGATTGTTCCTACTTCACAGTTCCCTACCTAATGCTGAATATTTGCATACTGGTGAAAAGCACGAATTGTTGGGCCTGGTTCTAAGGGCTGTAGCAGGAAAATAGCTGAACTGCTTGAAATTCCAAGGTTTGCAGCTTTCATTGTTTCTGAATTAACAGCTTACTATCAGGAGATGCTTGATAAAAAATTAACAGTAAATGGAATAGCAACATGCTGGTACATCTTCCTTGCAGTCCAGTAACTGATTATTGATCAGAAGCGCACTGGAGAGCAGCATCTGAGGATGGCTAGTTAGGGAAGACATCTCAGGGATGGGAGATTTTTGTATGGACAATGACTCATTAGAAATGCTTTTATTTTAGTACTTGGGGCAAAGGATACTCCATTTTAGATAAGGGCTGGAGATAATATCTATCATACATTTTCTTGCAGCATTCAAAACTCTTCAACACTTGTTCATTAAGAAAATTTCTATGCTGCTTCTAGGTTCCACGGACTTTGGAAATGTTACATTTGTAGTCCCTGGGCTTCATCCTTATTTTTATATTGGCTCTGATGCATTGAATCATACTGAGCAGTACACAGAAGCTGCAGGTGAGTGGAACTGAAAAGGTTTAGAGTTTTATATTTGGAACCCTTATGCATTGTATGGACTGGTTGCTGACTCTTCACTACAGCAAATCTAGAAATAATAAATATTTCAAATTACAGAGGGTTAAAGCTTTCACATGCTTTTATGGTATTCAAAGCTACTGTGTAGTAAATGTATGAAAGTGTAAGTACTAGATCTGAAAGTGGCTGCATGTGAATACCCCTAGAGAAATGGAGTTGCTTTCTTCAAGCATGACGGGATCTCAGCTGAATATAGACCCTGAAATAATTAACTTAGTCAATTGTAGAGTTGCAGAAAAAAGCTGACAAAATGTAGAATTTCTATTTTTGTGTTTAAAGTTAAATGTATATGGGAAGGATGACCACTCCTTATACTAAAAAGCCTGACTTAGTATATCATCTAGACAGAAGAAATCAGGATTATCCCTAGAGGCATATGCAGAAGAGTTTCTAAACATGAGCCAAAAGATAAAAGCAGTTTTTACTCCTAAAGCACAGTACTCTGGAAATTTGATAGAGATAATGGTATAGAACTCTGCATTTTCTAAAAAGGAAAATGTGAACACTCATTTCCCTGGTTTTAGTCTTAGTTGTTTACATCAGTAGCAGAAAGTTAAGTACTTGCATGTGAAAATTCGTTTTGAGGCATCAGAAGATAGGTGTACTTCATGCAAGTAGATTTTTAAGAAACTTCTTGCAATTGAAACTTGAAGATCTTGTTTTATAGAATATGCCTTATGCGGTGAGCTAGTGGATTCTATCTAATACTAGTAATCTAACCTGAAATTTCTCTTTACTTTTTTTCTTCAGGGTCACAGAATGCTCAGTTCTATGCTTTGCGCACAGCAAAAGCTCTGGCAATGACAGCACTGGATGTCATTTTCAAGCCAGGTCTGCTAGAAGAAGTCAGGGAAGACTTCAGACAGGTGAAGCTAAAAGAAGAGGAGCAAATAAGTCCAGTAGAACCTAACAAAGAATCTGGCATTGGCATAGGAGCATGTGCATCACATTAAACTTTATTAAACCTCTCTCAGTAGGATTGACTTAATGGAGATGCGCCATTTAAATCCCAGAAGGGGCTGGATAAACACATAGCTGAAGAAATGTTCATTTTTCTTTTTGGACTTTAGGAGAAGCAAATAGTATCATTGCTTTCAAAAAATGTGCAATTTCATCTAGCTGTAATGTTTGCTATATTCAGTATGGTGATGAATTTCAGAGAGAGATCTCAAATATGTTGTCTTTAAGTTGCAATGTTGAATAAATGATAGTGTTTAGATCCCTTGTCAGTGATTTTCTATGTATTGCTAAAGTATATAGGGGAAACACAGCATGTACATGGAAATTCTTGTTCTAAAATGAGCACTGTTCACTCGGTGATCACAGGGGGAATCTGATCTAAGAAGCGTTTTTCTCTGGCCAGTCACTTTTTCTTGGGGCAAGATAGAGGCTTAAAACCTGAGCTGGTTTCAGTGGAGAGAAGGGTATATGTTTGGAAGCGTGCCTGGTTTTGACAATAGTAGCTTCTAGCAATGGAAGAGAACGGCTTGTATGGAAATGTGATCTGTAAAGGTTGATTGTTCTGAGATGCACTGACCTTCCTCCTCATAAATTTTGGAGGTGTCGTGGAGAAGTCAATCAAAAAAATCGGAGAGTAACTAAATGTTCAACACATTTAAACCACTGCAGGGAAAATGCAAGTGCATCTTTTTTAAGTTCTACTCTAAGGCAATATAAGTGTCCACACAAGGTGTTGCACTAACTAAACTGATCTGAAGAATGTGTATGAACTTAGCTAAACCAGGGGAAATCTTTGTAAAGATTCAAGTGTGGTACTGTGAAGCAGTAAATGAAGGTGACCTTAAACTGGTTGTGTGCATACCCCTGTAGTAAGCTTTGAGAAGCTTGCACTGAGGATTGCTTGTGCAGTAACTGGCTTCTCAAACCTCTTTGTTCCCATATCCTAAGCAGCAGATCTGTTAAGTCTTGCCAGTTGTCCTTTCTGTGTGTTGTGTGGTTAGTCTGTTTAATCCTTGTTATTTTGCTTCCCAGAGGTGTTAATGTTGCAGATTTTATCTAGGTAGTGTTCTGTGTTTCCAAACATGTTAGGAATTTTTTTAATTTGCTTTTCTTTATTTCTTTTGTTCAGATACAAATTGCTGAGTCAATGGACAGACTGAGTGGAAAAAGCAGCTTACTGGTTAACATTTTCTAAGCATAGGTATTATAGTAAGCGTCTGAAAAGAAATCAGGCAAACTGTATTTCCCAGGAAGTCAGAATACCCAGGATAATTTCAGAAACCTTGTTTTTTAACAGCACCGGTTTCTAAATGGTAAACTCTAGAATTGGAACTCTCTGTAATTGCAATTTGTATTTTATTAATTTCTATATTCAATTTCTAATTTTCGAAAAAAAGAGGTTCCTAATCTTGATTTAACTGTGCACTGCCTCTGCATTTCTGTGCACTCTTTAACACAGACCTCCAGCTGCTATTTAAGAATTCTATTGAGACTTTCCCTTCTTAGAAGGCAAAAAGTGTGACTAGGCTGGCTTCTGTTTGTATGTCACCTAGACAGTGTAGACAACATAATTTGACAGTTTTTAGGATTTCTGATACTTCAGCCTCTGTCCTTGTAGTAATAGGGCACAGACTATCTGTTGATACATTAAATGCTCAGTGTCTTTGGAAAAAGGAAGTAACTGTTTATCTGTTTGTGTAAGAACTAGAGGCACAATTGTAGGGGTTTGTTTTGTGTTATAAGCCAGTTATTTGAAGAGTTGAGCATGACCATAAGTATTCCAGGTTACAGGATGGTCCTTACTTGCACCAGGATCCTTGCTTTCCTTAGCAGACAGTTTTGACAGATGAAAGCATGAAACAGATTAGGGTTGGACTCTGAGCTGTAGGTATGTCCAGGATAGTAAGTTGGATACTAAATCCAACTGAAATTTGGTCCAAAGTTTGTCAAAGGAACTTTCTCCTTAACTTTTAATGTAAACCCTGCTTTGCCAGTTCTCAGGCACAATTACAATTCATTAAGTTCTACCGGGTTAACAAGCTAGTTTATGAACTTCCTTAGCATATGTGGCTTTTTATTTCCTCCTGCATGAACTGCTTAACTTCTTGCTTTGCTGTTTTTAAGATGGAGTGTTGGGATCCCAGTGATAGCAATACATGCTGTGTTGTTTCCTACAAGCTGATGTGCGTTACAGCCTTCCCAGTTCTCTTTGTCCAGTCTAGCTGGCTGTTGGCTGCATCATGTCCGAGATCATTCAATTAAACATTTCTGCACTAAAAGCATATCTTATTTTTGTTGTAAACATTGCTGGAATTACAATGAAACTGAAGTACTGATTAAAGAGGAGTTGATATCAATAAAGCAATTTAATTGTGACTGAATTTTCTTGTCCTTCGATTAATATCGGGATGCTGGATGACTTCATTTAAATAGCGTGTTTGATTCCCCCCACCCCTGGTTTGGTATGATTATGTAAGAAGGTGTTTTAAGCTTTCCATTTTAGTCTGCCCTAGTGAGCAGTTTTTGTGTGAGGGTTAATGCTTTTCAAATACAATATTTAATGGTAGTCTTTATAATCTTAGGGCTGTTTCAACTATTAAAACATGTTAGAATTCATATAATAATAGGAATGGTTCTTGGAGGGCTCTCTGGAGGATCTCTGCTAGGCTAAACCTGGTCCAGCCTGAAGTGGGATTATCACCAACACTAGGTTAGGTGAGCTTGGCTTCATTTGCTGAATCCTGGAAGCCTCCAAAGATAGAGACTTTTCAGCTTCCCGAGGCAAGTTAGTTCCAATTTGTGTTTCAGAATGTTTGTTTTTAAGGTCCAGAACTAAAGGAGTTTCAGATTTAAAGTTACGATTTTACTATCATAATGATTCTATATATGAGAAATTTATTTCCTGTGGGAATAAAACTCACTTTGATTTTCAGTAATTTCTACTCATAATAAATCACATGTATATGAAATATCTGGCATGGTTTTTAAGTTACCCTAACTACAGTCTTCCCCAAGCTGTTTGTAATTTAAGAGTATTGGAATATTTGTCAAGAATAGTACTTTCAGCAGTAAATCAAAATGTGTAGGTAATAAACTGTAATTGCTGAAATGATTCTGAAGAGCTGATAGCAAATCACAGCTATTTAAGGATGACGTGATTATGTCCAGACTTTGTGAAGAACTAAAGCCTCTGCCAGCCTACCAAGCTACAGTGTTTCCTTATTTAATATCTGTCCTAGAACTTGAGTAAAAGATATGCCTGGTTTAAAACAGACACCACCCCCCATGAAATGTGATGGATTTCTTCTTATGAGGATTTAAAGGAAAGAACTTGTAACCTGCTGAGTTAAGCTATCTGGTGTAGAAGGGTCCAGCAGCCTTTCTTCATCAAATGGTAAATGGGGAGCAGCTTCACATTCTTGTGAATTGTATTTCTGTAATTGTTTCCTTCCCATTGTCTGAGTGCTCTGTACATGGTTATGCTGCAGTCACAAAGAGCGAGACTGTGTTCCTGTGAAGAGTCATAACCCATTAGCTGTTGAAGTTTGTCTAGTATTCGTTGAGCAATCTTCTCATAACTTGCTAATAGCATTCTTTAAAACAGATTTTTGTTGAGAGCAAAGTGCTTAGGATTAAATAATTTTAAAATAAAAAAGTCAGTGTACATGATTTCCTGTTTCTCCCTAAGGTTTATGGTTTCTTGGTCCTGAAAGCAGCAGCCCTCCACAGAGCCTTTGTCTGCCAGCCTGTCTGGTTGACTGCTGCTGGCACCCACATTTTGTTTTTATTGGGGAGCAAAAGTGCACACTCTTAAAAGTTCTTACTCAACTTTGGCTTAGTAGAGAGTTTAGGTAAGATTACTGCTATTTTAGACTCCTTTTGGCACTAATGGAAGTCAAAAGTATCTGACAAAAATCTTTGATGAGTTTGTCAGCCACAGCTGCATCTGAATGTCTTTCTTTAAAAATACAGTGAGAAGCCAAATGCCTTAGTCCTTGGAAAGAATGAAGTCCACACTGTTATGGATAGTCTTGGCCATTTATGCAGTGCTATCATTTATGATTGCTCTACAGTACCTATAGAAAGTTATATTTTCAGATGTTTAGTCTCAAAGGTAACTGACAAATGTAGTAACAGCTCATCTCTTAGCTTCTCAAGACCCTGTCGAAGGATAAAAGCCCACGAATTGTAGTACATGTTCATCAGAATTACAGTGCTTGAGTCTTGTTTCATAACAACTGCTTGATAAATACTTAAAAATCATCAGGAGTTGTAATTTTCCATAGTTTTCCTATTTGTATGTACTTTTGGTTCTGTGAGACTGGAACGTGCTTCATGCCCTACAATTTGTTAGGCTTTCAGGGATTTGTTTCAGCATCTGAAGGGCCCTGGTGTGTTGTGCTGCCACTGAGCTACTTGTGTCCTGTGGTGGAACATGCAGTACAGGTGGTCTCACAGTTGCTTTTCGTTTCTCTTTGCTGCCTCTTCAGTGCTCCATCAAATACCATCTTGCCATAGGAGCAAGTGCAGGAGAGGGGAGTCCCAGGGGTTTTGACTTGCTCTTCGGGGCTTGCAGGGAATTTGGATCTGTTTTGTACTGGGAGAATCATGTGCTCAGACATGCAGCATGTAGAAAGAGAGGGACCTAAGGGTTTTATTATTGTGATAATATCCTTTTACTGAGGAAGAAGAGAGATCATTGATTTTTCTTCATGCCTTTTCACTATTCTGTCTGTTGCTGACTGAAGTTTGCCGCCTTGCTGCTTCACCCTATCAGTAATTATCAGCATCCTTAAAGACTATTGAAGGCTTCAGTCTCCAAAGCTCTTAATCTAGACGTGCTCACAGGCAGAATTTGTGTTTATCCATAATCCACACAGACCTGCCAACATGCTTCAGCTTCTAAAAACAGCATCACCCCAGGCTGGGCTTTGGGTTAACCTCCAAGAAACTGGTCTGAATTATAAAGTATCACACTAAGCAAGAAGAACGAGGACTGTAACATACACAGTCTGGGGTGGAAAGCTTAATGTCATCTCAGGGATTTTGAGTTTGCATGCAGGCTTTTTGTCAGAGCCCTGCCTGTGAAATCCCAGGGCTCTCCAGCCCTACCAGCATTGCAGGATTTAAGGACATTTGGTATTTGACTGGATCAGGTCCTGAGCAAAAAGGTCTTACATACACTTATAAACTCATGGAGATCATTGTTTTGAAGGTAGAAAACACACAGTGCTGTACAAATGTGAAGGTTTATTGTGATTCTGAGTATTTCTAGAAATAAATGAAAACAAATCACTTTTATTGTGAAATGGAAAGGAGCAGAGTGTTAATGATTGGATACAAGACCCATACACTGAAAGGTTAAAAGCCAAAAAACTGTGTATGTGAATATGTTTAAGGAGTACAGTTGTTGATAGCAAACACTGGCTGTATATGACATATCCTGTACTTATAGAATACATCTATATACACATTGATATAAGACTGAAAAGGCACTAGAATTTCCCAAATAAAACACAAGTAAGTTAACAATGTAAATCCAAACATGGAGGTTGGGGAATCTTTAGGGAGATGTGCTGGAAGGGAAACTTTGAAAATCATATGGGAAGTTAGAAACCAGTCTCCCACTGAAAGCCAGGGAATTCAAAAGTCCAGCCCCCATTTGTATCTTCAAAAGCTCCCTTAATATACTGGCCAGATGCCAAATAATGTATGTAGTATGAGATTAATGAGTCTATAAAGGAATGTACAGTACTGCAGCAAACTACATAGCGTTAAGCTTCTTGTGAAGCTGGAGAGCTTACTGTAAAATCTGGCACTCATGTTCATGCTGTTCTTAAAATGTAGAAATAATGGGTTCTTACAATA